TTCTGAAATTTCCACTTTTTTTGTTGTGGCGGGTGCACTAATTGGCCAAAAATAAAATTTTATTTTTATTCGAAATCTTCAATATTTGCAGCCGGTGGGTTCGCTTAACAAGGTATAAAAAAAGTCTCGTCTAAAGCAAAATTTATGCTATGCTGGTACTTCTTGACAATGTCAGGTCTGCCTTGGAGAAAGAAAACTTATATTTCTAGGCTACAGTATCTAATCTTGATTATACTGCCCTATTTCTGGAAGAAATTGGACCAGTATATGTGGCAAAGACAAGACAGACAACCCAAACCAGTCACTCGTCGCAAAAATCAGTTTTTAGTTTACTAATACAGAGTTGAAGAGTAAAATGAGAGCTATAAAATGATAAAAGATTTAAATTTGACATTTTGTTATGAAGTTACAGAAGTTTAAACATACAGCTGTTTAAAGAACAATATAAATTGAGAAATCAGCCTTCAAAGTTAATTGTGATTTTTGGCATTTCTCTGGCAGAAACCATTACCAAATTGTTAAAAATTGTTGCTTTAACATTAAAAATGGGGAAAATAACAGCAAAGCATGATATACCTGTAGAGTACCACAGTCGTGTCTTCACGATGCCAGGTGGCGCTCTCTGTTGTCAACATAAAACAAATAATACCATTGATTGGGTAAAAGCTAAAGAACTAAGAAATAAAGCAAACAATATGAATCGGTATCTTAAAAAAACATATTGCTCAAAAGCTATTAATGAAAGTGTTAAGTTTCTTGTACCTAAGTTCCAACACTGTAATTAGTAACACATTAAATAATCGTCAGTGATATAGGCCTACGGAGATATGAACAGATTGCCGTTGTTGTTCTCCTCGTCTCTTCATTTGTAATTATCGTCAACATCATCATGATTTCATCATCGTCACCATCATCTTCCTCCCCTCCTCAACATCATCATGATTATCATAATCACGATCGTATGATCGTCATCATCATCATCATCATCATGACCTTCATCTTTGTCGTCTCATCATCTCAACATCACCATTATCTTGATTCAACATCATCATCATCATCCTCATCATAATCATGATAGCAGCATGATTCCTCAATAGACACCTAAACATTGCGTCTAGGTTCTTCGTACAGTATACCCTGTCTCTTATACACATCTAGATGTGTATAAGAGACAGGGATTATACCCAAGTAATTATTTTTTCTATAGAGTACCACAGTCGTGTCTTCACGACGCCAGGTGGCGCTCTCTGTTGTCAACAGACGTTGGTTACCGCTCACTAAGCCTGAATGACTTCATAGGCTTTCTGGAATAGGCATTTTAAAAATATTTTACCATCAAAATGGTAAAAACACAATAAGCTCACATTATATTAGTTATCGAACACACATTTAATCATCAATTAAAATTTACAAAGAATAAGTAGGATACTTAATAATCACGTTAGAAATTGGGATCAATGGTTTGTCAGTGAAGAAAATGCCATCCGCTTGAACGCTTTTTGCAACGATATCAATGGAGTAGTATCACGTGGTATCATGATGTAACACTATTATAGTACTCTATATAGATATATAAAGATCAGTTTGTTGTAATAAAATAGATTTCAAAAATTGGAAACAGGATTTGTGACAAGTGACTGGTTTGCTTGTCTTTGCCACATACAGTAATGGTATCAGAGATATAGAACTTGAGGTGGTAGAGGACTTATCTCTAATGAGCATTAATTCATCTATGTTGAATTCTGGTCATGAATTTGCTTTGTAGTATTTATAGTTATCTGTAGGGGACCATTTGGATTATCTTGTGATATAATGGTTAATTCTCAGCTTCAAATAATAACAAAATTCACGGACCATTTCGTTAAGGGATATTGTTGCTAATGTTCCACAAAACAATATAGCGTAAAATTGTACATAAACTTGTGCGTTTTTGGGACAACATGTGTGTCTGTGGGAAAAGTGTCTATTCCTGGCCCTGGTTTGATTGTTCAGTTAAGTTTGCTGGAAAGGATCATTTCTAGATATTCACAATTTGCGTTGCTCAAGTCTTTCCGTAGTGATGCAGCAAAGAGAAAACAAATATTGTAAAAATAAAAACATCAAAAAGTGATTTAGAATTTAATGCGACGTTAATGGAACTTGCATTAGTTTTGATTAAAAAAGTTGACATCTCCTTTGCCTTTCTACGGACCATTATAGCATTCATAATTATTTCACAATAAGGATCATTTTCGGCCGGAGTCTGCTAACTTACTTTAAGTTTCTGGAATGATTTTCCAAATTTGGTGACATGTATGCCTATAAAGTTTGTATTTGCATTGTGCTCAATGGTGATTACTGATAAATGTGACTGGCTCTGGCAAAACTAGCTGTTTGTCGAAAACATTCAAAATTGAGTTTTTGGTATTTCTAGATTCTTCATGAATTTTTCTTCAAAACAGTGATTATTTGATTGAAATTGGTTGAGTATTAGCGAAGTTATGAATATTAAATTTATTGGATATTACTAATAGGTCTTGAGAAAACAGCTTCCAAAGATTCCAAAAGCAATAGTTTTTTATTAAGATTTTTATTTTAAAAATAATTTTAATATACCTTTCAGTTAGATTTAGTGATTGATATTTTGCAGAAATTTTCTTCAATATATCTTCTACAGTAGTATAAAATGCAAAAACCTTGAGTGATTATCGACTTCACATTGTTAAATTTCAGGTATTGGAAATAAAATCATTGCTGATACTAAATTTAAATATATTGCTCATGGTAAAAACTAATTATAACTAGATATTGACTACTGTAAAAGTCAATAGAATTAGAAACAAGTATTGGCAGTGTTGATGGATAAAAAATGTCATTATGTTCCCTTTTAAAAATATTGATTGCTACAAGCTCATGTGTAATGTCATATGACAGATGGTCTCTTTCAAAGAATCAGCATTTAATACTAGAATATTCAATATTTTTTAAACATCTTCTGTAGTTCCACAAGAAATTCTATTTTTGGAGTAAAGCTACTGTAGCTGTTGGAAGTATCAGTCCAATTAAACCTGAAAAGAAATACGTAAACCTGAAACATTTTTATGGATGAGCATATTATAAAAATTATCTTACTAGCAAATTCTATAGTATCATAGCAAACATTTATCCTGTACCAATTGAATAGTCTTTGCATGAAATAATTTATTTTTAGTAGTTTATAGTCTACTATTCATACATAGGTGCTCTACAGTACGTACCATAGAAATTCTAATATGAGCCTGTAGTACTCTATTAGTACCCATGCACTGAAGCCTGGTTTCCATAAAACTGCTACACGTTATCCCCGACTCCTTTGGCAACACTGATTGGTCAGTTGTATCAGGGAGCGTTCCCGGTTGCGTCGGGGACAGCTACGCAGTGCAAATATTGCAGTGAAAACACCGTAGCGACTGTGTAACAATTTTTATGGAAACCAGGGTTTTATTAACCCACTTTCACCATATTCTATAATAATGACCTACTGCTTCATAGTTACTACTGATTGGCATAGTCAATTGAAGGCACTCATCCAAAAGGAAATCTTCAAAAATAAAAAAATGAAGTTTAAATTAAAATTTAGTTTACTTACAGTTCTGTGCCTTTGAACTAATTGGCATTTGTCTTGATTGATGAAATAAAGATTGAATGTTTAACATTTTGAAATGAAAAACATCATTGCTGATTAATGATTTCATTTTCCCCATAGTTTTGTATCACTAGATCTTTCAATTAGATAAAAAACATTTTCCAAACATTGATAGATTAATATAGAATGTCAATTATAATCTCAATTCAAAAGAATGAATTATATCTGATCACAAGTTCATGTTTAATGTCATATGATATCGCTCTCAAGCGTTGCTCTCCATCAAATGTGCAGATTTTGATATTAGGAAAAATCGATATTGGGAACTTTCAGAAGATTTTTCTATCATCTTCAATAACCATGCCTTCACACAAGTTATATTTTTTTGAGCAAGTACAATAAATGCTAATCCAACACTTGATTCTATGTTGCTTGTATCAATATTTTAAATTTCATGTTAAAAATATATACCATCAAACCTGAAAGTCTAGAACCCCTTGCTTTGGAACTGCAGTAAGAGGACACGTTTTTTTGGCCATAGACCAAAGGAAAGTATGGTATTCCTTTTTACAGTACAGCAAACACTATAATAGAGAATCCACAAGGTGATACTTTTTGGTCTTGTAATAGAGCCCTTCTTGTGTTTTTTAAACTTGATGATTCTAGAGTTTGTCACCACAGTTTTAAAAAGTTTTTCTACTTTAGATTTGGGATTTACGAAGTGCAAGACATCAGTTGATTTGGTTTCATGAGTTTCCTTTGTTTAGTACTAGTGCTAAGTTATGGAATATTGCATAACTATTGACAAAATTATCTTTTTCTGTCATTTGTAAAATTGCTTGACCAGCCTCTAAAGTTCTCATGCCTCATTAGCACCCAGCATAAAGTAATTCCAGATCCATCAAACTTTCATTGTCTATGATTTATGATTTTGTGTACAATAGTTTAGTTTATGATGTTCTTGTACAGGTACTGTCATAATAAAATTTCGGATTTTAATTATTCTTTACCTTTTTTGTGACTTTCATTTTACTGTTTAACCCTTTATAAAAATTGATTTTTGCGAGGAGTGAATACTTTGGCTTGGCTTTGCCACATTTTTAGTGCAGTTCACAACTAGGGCTTAAAAATATATTTTACTTTTGTAATTATGTTAGCTACTTACTGCAGTGCTATTGCAATGATGGTATCACCTAGTTAATTTTTTTCCAGTATTGTGTTTGAATATTTTTTTTTATCAGAAAAAAATGTCTTGCTATACATGTGCACTGATAACTGATCCTGTTCTATCCTGACATGGAGCATGTGTAAATGTCTTTCTCTAGCACTGTTTAAATAAAAAGCAGTATGTTACCAACCTACACTGTTAAATATCCTTTTTTTCAATGCTTTCCAGTGGAATATGAAATCACAGCTTTCCTGTTACACTAAAGATTGTCTACTGTACTACATGAGCGCAGCAAGCGTGTGTTGCCGGACGAACTACAAGGAACATTAAACTGTCATCACTGAGTGATGAGTTTATGGCATGAATGTTTGATTTACTTTAGGGGGCACAACACTAACAATGATAAACTAATTTCTGTGACATGTTGTTTCATTTGGAGGGAGCACTTAGTACCTGGCCTGCTTTTAACTTAAAACAAAATGTATGTGGTGTTAAAGAATATGCGGTGCTCACTTTATCATGTTCACTTTACAACACAGTGTTGAATGAGGAAGATTTTTTTTGTTGTAGATGATTGTTATCAGAAAGGGACATGGTTTTAATTTGTAAGTGTAGGGCCCTGTAGGTAACATATGATGCCAAACAACTTCAAGAAGATCTAGATAAAGTAGTGGAATGGTCTAATAAATGGCAGATGAAATTTAACCCTAACAAATGCCAAGTGATTAAAATAAGCAATAAAAAAAAAACTCTCAGCATTATAAATATATAATGAGTAATGTTATTCTCCAATCAACATAACAAATCAGTTATCTTGGAGTTGAGCTTACCAACAAGAGAGTGAACTACCAAACCTGGTTCTGGTTAATTCCTCTTTTCTTAGTAAGTCAGTAGTTAATTTAGTCTTTTATCATTGAGTCAAAGATTTTAGAGTTGGTGTGAACTATAATAAATTTGGTTTTTCTTAGTAATGTCAGAGTTAATAGTGTACTAGTCTTACTTTTTTGTCATTGAGTCAAAGGTGTTAGTGAACTGCTATAAAGAAGTTATGGTTCTAGTTGTTTTTAATGTCAAAAGTAGTGTACACTGTAGTATTTTATATTTCTTTTACATAGACAGTGAATTCTAAAATACAACTTGAAGTATAATTATGACATAATGAGTCATGTTGGACTCTAGGTCAATTTGATATTCAAGAAAATGTGTACTGTATACATAGGAAAATTTAGGTTTTACAGTGTCTATATATTTCACAATAGCAAATGTTCTGACTGACTTTAGGCACATTTTGTTATGCTATTTTTCAGAATTCATAGGGAAATCGCCATCTTCAAATGCAATTATCCTGAAATTATGTTTTCAAACATTTGAATTTCAAAATTATCTTATTCTGGTTGTACTTAACTGATTTTGATTCAAAGCCCAAAATCAAGCCTAATAATGTCATCTATTTTAAGTTAATCATTTTAATGTTTGGTACAAAAGAAAACCAGTTTTGTAACAAGACGACATTAATTGTGCTATGATATAAAAACATCAAATGTAGCATAATGTTGAGTCAATTTTCTTTCATTCCACTTATCTTTTTTATATGTCTATTGAAAATGTTAACAAACTAATTGACTGTTGCTCACACGTTGTCATTATAGCCTCATTTACATACTGTACAGTATGTACGGTAAACAAATTACTCTTAATCCGCAATAATCTATACATTTAGGTATTATAATTATAGTGCCAAAAAGAAAATGAATTATTGTTTCTTTGAATTGAAATGGTGCACCTCTTTAGTGCCTGAATTTTCTCTTTGCCACCTAGCTAATTAACACTCAACCCCCTGCTCTTTCCACTGGCTATCTGCCAGTTGGCTCATTGCTACACACATAACACTGTAGCAAGCCCGTAGCCAGGATTTTGGTAGGGGGGTTCTTTTTGATACTGAAAGGGCACTTGCGAGCACCATTGGCTGGGGCCAGGGGGGCTGCCAAGGGCCCCCGGGGGGTCCATGGCCAAAACCCCGGTTGGGGGTCCAGCATTCTAAGCATTTGGTGTTATTTAATTGATTTGAGAGGCCATACATTAAAAAAAATGTATATATTAAAGAGGTAATTTTTTGAGTTGGGAAAAGATAAAAAACAAAAAAAAGAACTACTACTTTAGTACTACAGTATTGGTAATTTAACAATAGTAGCATGATACAAACTCCAAAGAATCCAGTATGGTTTATTCTTTATTTTTTATTTATATAGCACTTTGGAAGTTGTATCATACTATACTCACTTAAAAAGCTGTCTCTTATACACATCTAGATGTGTATAAGAGACAGCTGCCGGACACCATCCCGGTATTTCTGAGTCAAGGTTTCGGGGCCTGAATTTTTTTTGTGTTACTAGCTATAGGCCTAACAATCAAGTATTAAAATAGGACTTTTAATGATGATAGGCTCTAGGCTAGGCCTAAAGTGCAGGCTTACCAGCCTTTGTTGAAAGGGCACTTCATGAAAAGGGGGGTTCATTCGAACCCAACGAACCCCCCCTGGCTATGGGCTTGTGTAGATCCAGTACCTTTTTGTCGGCCCCTGATTTTGTAGCATGCTGCCTGACAATACTGATGAGTTTCTTTCAGTAAAAATAATTGTTGCAAATTAAAAATAATTAAAAAAAAATTATCCCATCTGCCATCGCCATTTTATCTCCCATCATTAAATATATGAAAGCATTTAATGTGAGCTTATCAATCCGATAATTGAAGTGATTAAATTTACATCGTAAATCTTTATAATGGACATGCAATGGAATATCGAGTGGTAGCCTAATTGCCCCCTCAATTTACCATTGTGCAGTTACATTTTATTTTTATTTTCAGTTACATTTATGAAGTTTATTCATAAAAATCAGCATTTACAAGTTTAATCATGTTATAAAAGAAAATTGCTATCATAGTTCCTCTGGCCTAATCTAACCTAATTTGAACACAAATTTGAGTTGATTCTAGGGAATGTTATACCCTGCCGAGGAATGCCAATCAAAATGTATATTTTCAACATTACATGAAATAAAGCTTTGATTGTTTGTATCTGTAAAGCATATATTCAAATCATACCCTGGCATTTCGCATGCAGAAAAGCCGAAAACATAATCTCAGACATAAAGTAGAGGCAGGGCCTATACCCTTGGAAGTATGGTATACTCTACATCTTGTGTGTTATATTAGGTAGAGATTAATTAGGAAATGTATCGTATCGTCCATGTTAGACAAAACAAGACAATACAAAAAATCATATGAGGTATAGAATTTAATAAGAAACTATGACTCGTTTCCAGTTCATTCGGATAATTCATCTATCCATACCATTCTGACAATAACTCTTTGAATTATGTTTCCTTTCTGATCGAAACCATCATACGCATATTTAAATATAGCAGGTGATGAAATATTACTTTGATTTGCTTGCAATATAATTGATTTTCTTCAAACCAAAGAGGGCGGTATAGATGCTAAAATGTACTGGAATCTTTCCTCATAGAACCACATTCCTGAGAGCCTATCTATTTAGGCTATATCAGTGTTAAAAATGATTCTTGTTGTTTCTGTTATTCACACTTGAGTTTAATTGACAATATTAATTTAAATATTTTTCTCTGCTGTCCACACTATTATAGCTGAATTTAACTTGAAAAATTTAATTTAATTTAATGAAAAAATAACATCATATATTTTTTTTCACCCTCAAAAGAGTTTTGGATATCTTGGTTAATCCATTCCCTTTATGCTGTACCTATGTAAAAAAAAGTATTACTGATTTGACCATTTGACTTTGGAACATAGGAACCAGATAGAATGTTTCTAGTTTTTATTGATAGCGGGATAGAAAATTGTATAAAATTATTAAATACTGGTATACAAATCACTGATATTCCATAAATTATCTTATGAACTGATTTTATTTAGTTTGACAAGTAGAATTTTTATTGAATGAACAATTTTATCTGAGGAGTCTGTTGAATCATTGTTCCATCAGATATGCCTTAATCAAGTAGCAATCTGTTTTCTGGTTTTTTTTGCTTATACAGACCTGCCAACACCTGGGTCATGAAAATCTGGAGATTTACCAAAAAATATGGAGTTTTCCAGAATTAACAAAAATGTGATTCAATATACTAAAAAAGAGAAATTGAGAATTTCATACTTGCTTGCCACGAAGTTGGCCGTTGGTGGTGACATTTGAATCGAAAATGGCTGCCTGTGTTTATTGTGTCGCCAAGCGAGCAGGCGGTGAATACATTGAATAATAACGATCAAATCAATCAAATTAATGCATATATAAATGTATTATGTGGGGGATCTGTAAAATCAGTGAAATATATCGGGTGACACCCGATAGGATCAGGTGAGTTGGCAGAGGTCAGAAACATGCACAAATAGAATGCATTTAAGACTGTACATCAGAGCACTATTAAAGCATCAGAACTAAAAAAGTTGTTCAGTTCACTATTGACATCTATTGTTCTTGATGAAATGAAATTAATATTAGTAATTTATTTTTATATCATTTTATTTTTTTAAAGAAATAGGTTAATTGATTTAAAATGTATATTAGAAACTATATATAGATTGTGAATTTACATATTTGAAGTTCATATTGCGGCAATCTGGTTTTCTAACCATGTTTGCATATTCTGTCTACAGTATGTTGAACTTAAGTCCCAATAAGAATAATTATTAGTTTATCACCCTCTCGCGCATGCCTTTTATGTTACTTTTTTTTTTTAATTGTTTTGAAAATTAAGTAGTTGGTAGATATTGTTTGTATTATCTCAATAATGTTTTAATTTGAATATTAGTGCACCAGCAAACAACCCAATGGTGATATTTGGCTTTACCAAAATAAAATTAAAAAAAAAAAAATTCCTCCCTCATCACTTTTCCAGTCTAGATAGGGTGAATAATAATATATTTTATAGAGCCTAATATGTACTTAAAAACAAAACATGAGTTAATATTCGCAAAACTACTTCGTAAATTATTACTATAGATTTTTCAATTGAAAATTATATATTAAATACATATATATATATATATACATAACTTGTTGAAAGCATTATTTAAGTATAATTTTGTTAATAATAGCCTTCCTGTAAATTTTCACAATTATTTTGTCAAAAACCAATCTTTTCACAGTTATGTAACCTTGCCAGCTTGCTTGTATCGCCATCAAAATTTCCACACTGATCTTTCAAGACACACCATTACAACACAGGGACCCATGTTATGGAATAGAATTAATGAACAATATAGAAGTCACCAACAGTACATTCTTTTAAGCATTGTTATAAAGAATATCTTATTTTAAGTAATTATGTTATATTCAATTGTTAAATAATTGGCTGTAATATTATTACACACTTTAGAGTTTGTTATTACCCAGATGTTGTCTGTGTTGTGTTTGCCTGTTTTTATGAGTCAATATTACCGATTTTCTGGCTTATTTTGTATATCGTGAGTGCACTTGCATTTTTTTTTTTTTTTTTTTTTTTTTTTTTTTTTTGCTCGGGCAGGTCACTTAGGGTGGCAATCTCATTGAGTTGTGCTCTTATTGGTCATTCCCTACTGTTTCTTTTTATTCATTTATAAAAATGTATCTTGATGGATTTCTTTAAACAGTGAATAAATTTGAACATGAAATTGATTTTTTTTCGCTATTTCAGAGGCAAAAAGTTAATTGTAATTCGTACAGAAAAAACCCAAAATGTCTCAAGTATAGATAGCCTGGGGGATATAGGTCTACGGGAATATGTGAGATAGGTATCATGAGAATGAGCATCGAAAGTGCCACATCAGTATTGTTTTAATAAGTGCCGCACTCGATTAAGCCTCAAAAAAATGTTATAAGCGCAGCAGCGCTTATTCAAGGATTTACGGTAGTTCATATTGCAATCTCGCTATCCTAATTCCATGCTTGCATAAAGATATACTGCCAATATTGAACTTTTAAACTTAAAAAACATAATTTAATATGTGAATTGCTTATTTGTAATTTTCTCTTAAGTTATTACTAGCTTTCAATTGAAATTTAGAAAGAGGATGTGGAGTTCATATTGCCATCTAGTTATCCGACAACGCTTGCATACAAAAACTGTTCATGTTGAACTTGTAAACTTGAAAAATATAATTTAATATAAATTACTAATACTTTGTATTAGGTAACTTTCAATTGAAATATTCAAAGACATAGTTTTCCTTCCCACTTTCATTTTTCTTCTTTCTTATGGTGTTTCTTTTTTCTTTTTCTGGTTTTTTTACATTGTCTTTTTATTTAATTGATTTATAGAATATTATTAAGCCAGTTGTTTTTATCACTTAGCCAATACTTTTCAGATTACCTCCTACTCAAAGATGCATACAAATGCCGTTCAGATATTTTCTACATAAGGCACTAAAATTGAGTGGTTTTAATTTAGGATTTTCATAGTAAAAAGTCTTCAATGTTTGATTATTTTTAGCTCTTTCCCCACGAACCCCCCCCCCCCCTTGATGTTTAATAGTTGAAACAGGTGACGCTACTGGTTTGACTGGGCCCAGCTGTCATGAAAGCCTGTCTCAGCTGTAGTGGGCACCTGGCCTAGCCATTGGGGAGATGTATAATGTATCAGGGGAAAAACTATTAGAATAATTTCCTTTACTAGAGATGGCTGACATTTAATAGTGCTGTATTTGAATACCTAGAGGTAACATAATCTAAATTTCACCTTGGCTCTAACCAAAGTGTGGCTGTGGTGAGTGTGTAGGTAGTGCTGATGTAAGTTAACTTTTAATTTAGAATTAGAACAAGGAAATGACATGTGTTCCTATCACATAAAATATACTATATTTATACCTTTTATCTTTATTTATTTAGTAATTTTAAAAATACTCAAAATACAACACATTGAAATGAAGAGTTTACAAACAATCAGTATAGATTCAATAAGAACATGATTTTGCTAATTTATGCAAGGATTTTTTAAATATAAGTCTGTAAATCAAATAACATTATTTTGACCTATTTCTCTGTAGAAGTTGAACTTTTTTTGGTCATTCGAAATGAGCATTTCAGTACATTAATAAATTTTTTTAAGATTTGTTTTAATGTTACCATGGATCATATATCTTTAATCTGTTGTGCATGTTGATTACATTGAAATATGTGAAGATTGTGACCAGAATACTCAAACAGAAAGACAAAAAAATATCAAACTGAATCTGTAAACTTTAAAAATAAGTGGAACAGTATGTGACTTCTGAAGGCACATCATGGAATTTAATTCAGATTAATGGGTCTAGACATTCACTGCTGATCAAGTATAACTGTTGAATTCATCCCAATGCCTAAAAAATATATACTGTAATATATATTGATTGGACGTGATTAGAATTATGTATTAATGATTTTGCTGAAATCATGATCTTTGCGGTACATAAAAGAAAAAAATTATTACCATTAAAATTATAACATATTACAATGTTTACTTGAGTTTGCTTTGCCTATCAATTTAATACATTCTGATCAGGACTTGTGAACTGCTAATACACATTTGATGTAGGGTGCAGCAAAGGCCCAAGGCTACAATATGCCTACTACAAACTAAAAGAATTTAAAGTGAATGTTTTGTTGAAGTTTTACTTGATTGTTTATTGTTTCTTTGGGTGTTTTTTTTGTTGTTGTTGTGCGGTGGGGTTTCTTTGTTTCTGTTTTTGTTTATATTTTTAACACCAATGTAAACCTAGGCCTCATCAATATTAATATATCTAAACAGCCCAATCCATTGTTTGAATGCTGGAAAAAATGTAGGTATCCTAGTAAAGAACTGTAGTGAGTATAATTACAAATACTAGGCTAGCAAACCTAAGCCCTTTTTAGGCTCTGCTAGCATAAGTCTAGACAATTTTCGCCAGGGTTCGCAATCGGGAATTATTGAGAAGTAGGTTGATAACAACGGAATATATAAGAATGTGATTTCAGGTATCACACAAATACAATACTTGAAATAAATCAAACCGTATAATTATATAATATTTTTATCGTGAAAAACCTGTGAAGGCCCTATTAAACAAATTTTAGTCTCCCAATAGACTGGCAAAGTGATGAGGGTTGGAGGCTTATATTTTTATTTTTTATTTTGCTAAAGCCAAATGTCACCCTTGGGTTCTTTGCTGGTGCATTGATATTCAAAGTAAACATGATTCAGATAATACAAACAATATATAGTAACTATTTACTAATGAAAATTTATTTGAAAATGAAATAATTTTTTTAAAAAAAAAAGGTAAATAAATAAAATTAATTTTTTTTTTCAATGCCATAGAACACATGCACACGAGGGTAGTAAATTAATTTTTTTTTATAGGGCCTAATAATATTAACTAAACAAATGTTGCATAATAAGATTTTACCTATAAAAATTGCTAACTAAGAGCAGTATAAAAATTTTTTTTTAAACCGCTATCCAAGACATAATTTAAATGAAAAACCGTGAATTGTGCGAAATTAAAGAAGTATGATTAATTTTTTTGTAAACACAAACACATAGGATAGTCACATGACTCTACTGGACCTACCTAAATTTTTTTTCTTTCTAGATCTATGCAATTTATATTAACTAACAACATGAAGTACAGCCCTGGCACAGGTCTCTAGTTTTAAATTCTCTTAAATTTGTTTTTTTTTTTTTTAAAGTTTCCTTGTTATCAATTTGTTTTTTTTTTTTAAAGTTTCCTTGTTATTGATTGCTGTGCATTCCCTTATGTAGAAGTAGTTGGCGCATCGGTTGTGGTTTGGACTCCCAACCTCGAGGTCGGGGGTTTCAAAACTCTCGCTGTGCAAGTCGCTTGTGTCCTTGGGCAAGGAACTTTACCTACGGTTGTCTCTCTCCACCCAGGAGTACTAGTGGGTACCTGGTAGTTTCAAACACAGCCTGCACTGAATACAGCTGCAACATTATGGAATTCCCCTATGGGGCTTGAGTGTGTGTTCCATATGTGCTTGATCCAGTGATCCGGGGGTAATAATGTTCAAGCGCTTCG